TAAGTCCATCAAATCAACTTTGATGTATTGTAATGGTAATGTACAATGTGTAGAATACTCAGTATAAATATGATTAAGGCAGTACAGTAAATTACGAAGCTATAAGGCAAAATCTATATGGCTGATAGGAATTTGCGTCAGGAAAAAGTGCACACTCTTTTTCCTAAGCCCATCACATCAATTTTGAAGTATTCTAATGGTAATATACAATGTGTAGAATAATCAGTATAAGTATGATTGAGGAAGTCCCCTAAATTACGAAGTTATATGGCAAAATGTATATGGTGGATAGGAACTTGTATCAGGAAAAAGTGCACAATGTTGACCCTAAGCCCATCACATCAAATATGAGGTATTCTAATGGTCATATACAATGTGTAGAATACTCAGTATAAATATGATTGAGGCAGTCCAGTAAATTTCGAAGCTATAATGCAAAATCTATATGGTTGATAGAAATTTGCGTCAGGAAAAAAAACTAGGTTGTAAAAGTGCCTTTCCATTTATGGTTGTCTCTATGTATTGGCCGAAAGGGGCTATATTGATGTGATGGACTTAGGAAAAAGATTGTGCACTTTTTCCTGATGCGAGTTCCTATCAACCATATAGATTTTGCCTTATAGCTTCGTAATTTACTAGACTGCCTCAATCATATTTATACTGAGTATTCTACACATTGTATATTACCATTAGAATACGGTACATCAAAGTTTATGTGATGGGCTTAGGAAAAAGATTGTGCACTTTTTCCTGATGCGACGAGTTCCTATCAACCATATAGATTTTGCCTTATAGCTTCGTAATTTACTGGACTGCCTCAATCATACTCATACTGATTATTCTACACATTGTATACTACCATTAGAATACCTCAAAGTTGATGTGATGGGCTTAGGAAAAAGATTGTGCATTTTTCCTTATGCGAGTTCCCTATCAGCCATATACATTTTGCCATATAACTTCGTGAATTGGGGGACTGCCTCAATCATACTCATACTGATTATTCTACACATTGTATACGTATACTACCATTAGAATACCTCAAAGTTGATGTGATGGGCTTAGTAAAAAGATTGTGCACTTTTTCCTGATGCGAGTTCCTATCAACCATATACATTTTGCCATATAACCTGGTAATTTACTGGACTGCCTCAATCATATACTCATACTGATTATTATACACATTGTATACTACCATTAGAATACCTCAAAGTTGATGTGATGGGCTTAGGAAAAAGATTGTGCACTTTTTCCTGATGCGAGTTCCTATCAACCATACACATTTTGCCATATAACTTCATAATTTAGGGGACTGCCTCAATCATACTCATAATGATTATAATACACATTGTATATTTCCATTAGAATACATCAAAGTTGATGTGATGGACTTAGGAAAAAGATTGTGCACATTTTTTCCTTGTGCGAGTTCCCTATCAACCATATACATTTTGCCATATAACTTCGTGATTTGGGGGCTGCCTCAATCATACTCATACTGGTTATTCTACACATTGTATACTACCATTAGAATACCTCAAAGTTGATGTGATGGGCTTAGGAAAAAGATTGTGCACTTTTTCCTTGTGCGAGTTCCCTATCAACCATATATACATTTTGCCATATAACTTCGTGATTTGGGGGCTGCCTCAATCATACTCATACTGGTTATTCTACACATTGTATATTTCCATTAGAATACATCAAAGTTGATGTGATGGACTTAGGAAAAAGATTGTGCACTTTTTCCTGATGCGACGAGTTTCTATCAACCATATAGATTTTGCCTTAGCGTCGTAATTTACTGGACTGCCTCAATCATACTCATACTGATTATTCTACACATTGTATATTTCCATTAGAATACATCAAAGTTGATGTGATGGGCTTAGGAAAAAGATTGTGCACTTTTTCCTTGTGCGAGTTCCCTATCAACCATATACATTTTGCAATATAACTTCGTGATTTGGGGGCTGCCTCAATCATACTCATACTGGTTATTCTACACATTGTATATTTCCATTAGAATACATCAAAGTTGACGTGATGGACTTAGGAAAAAGATTGTGCACTTTTTCCTGATGCGACGAGTTCCTATCAACCATATAGATTTTGCCTTATAGCTTCGTAATTTACTGGACTGCCTCAATCACACTCATACTGATTATTCTACACATTGTATACTACCATTAGAATACCTCAAAGTTGATGTGATGGGCTTAGGAAAAAGATTGTGCACTTTTTCCGTATGCGAGTTCCCTATCAACCATATACATTTTGCCATATAACTTCGTGGACCCTTTGTGACAGTTAGGTTAATGTATCTGCAATACTAAAATGCCATAGGTAGGGAGGGAAACATGTTTACGACGTAGGAAGTGGTGGTGGAAGTAGTTGAGGCCAGCAGTCCGGAGTGTGATGACCCTATGTGACAGTTAGGTTAATGTACCTGCAATACTAAAATGCCATAGGAAGGGAGGGAAACATGTGTTTACGACTTAGGAAGTGGTGGTGGAAGTAGTTGGGGCCAGCAGTCCGGAGTGTGATGACCCTATGTGACAGTTAGGTTAATGTATCTGCAATACTAAAATGCCATAGGAAGGGAGGGAAACATGTTTACGACGTAGGAAGTGGTGGTGGAAGTAGTTGAGGCCAGCAGTCCGGAGTGTGGTGACCCTCTGTGACAGTTAGGTAATGTACCTGCAATACTAAAATGCCATAGGAAGGGAGGGAAACATGTTTACGACGTAGGAAGTGGTGGTGGAATTAGTTGAGTCGGGCAGTCCGGAGTGTGGGAACCCTTCATTGTTAGATAAACATATATTGGATTTTTAATCATTTTTAGATGATATAATTACGATATCGTTTTAAATCATCATTGTAAGCCATACGGTATTTTTAGGAGATTCCTTACATCGTGCTTTGGCAATTAGGTTAAGTTAGATTAGTTCAGTTCGGCTTAGTTTTGTTTATGATGGGGAAATATGGAAATAGGCTTCATTTAATTAAAAGACATGTTGTACAGGTACGATGGATTTACCTCCTATCGATAACTGTTGGAAATCTATTACGTATATTACCAATGACTTTGGTTAATTAATAGATGAGAAGTTAGGATTGTTGTTGACTAAGATTTGGTTGATTTGCCCATACAAATAACATTGTGTTCACCAGTGACACCGGTAAGTAGGCTAGGTGTGGGTGGACTCTTTCATTACTGCGCTCATGTTCACTCATCCCGTTACGCGCAGAATAAGCGTACTACCGAGTATGTTTAATCTATGGTACTACTAGTATTTATACTGAGTATTCTACACATTGTATATTACCATTGGAATAGCTCAAAGTTGGTGTGATGGGCTTAGGAAAAAGATTATATACTTTTTTAATTTCGGAGTTTTAATTGATCGCGTTATGTTAAGCCATAGCTACGTGTAATGTACAGTACGGTCTCAAATATGCCTTTTAAAATACGCCAATTAATTAGTTTTAACGTGTATACACGTTTTATCAAGGTGTAATTGACATTATATAAATGTAAAAACATCATTTCGCACCGTATTGTCGTTGAATTGATTTCCGACATCCCTGCAAAACACGTTCGTGGCGCCCGCAGGCGTACCAACCCATATCTATTATAAGGTGGGCAGATTTTCCCATCCTTGTTAGTCAGTCGTCACGTCATCGTTGATGCGATGCAGTTATGGTACTGGTATCGCATAGCTCCACAAGTCAATAGTCGATATCGAATACCCCTAATTTACTTTACTTGAGAATCGCTGAAACGAAACGCTTCCATCTTCTTTCTCGAATCTTGCTTGGTTAGGTTCAGGACTCTAGATTCTCGTTCTTTGGTTCTTTCTTTGTTTTTGTTTGGTTGGATTGCATGTAATGTCGACAAGCGTAACGAAAGAAAAGTTGTTAATCGTGTTTTCAGATATAACATCACTAGTTTAATTTTTAATTTATACCCGTACTTAACTTACGAGAAGTTGTTTTCTGGATAGGCCTAGGCCTAGTTTAACTTAAATTATACATTTTTATATTTATATGACTTAAGTATTAACTTAGGCCTAGGCCTATTAAGCTGGGTTTTCCTAGCAGCGGAGTCGGCCAGCGGAGAGAGGAACGCGGAGAGCGGACTCAGCTGGTCTTTGGCAATTTAATGTTACTGTTTTCCTAGCAGCGGAGCGGAAAGCCATGTTAATTTCAATTCCGCTCTCCGTTGGCCGACTCCGCGTCTAGGAAAACCCAGCTTAAGAGGATTTTAAATGGAGGCAACAGAAGATAATAATGATGGTGATCAAGTGGAATCGAAATTACACTTTGTTAATACATACGACCAATTTTCTATTAAAATTGCAAGAAACCGAAGTATCTACGTATAGCAAATTTGTTTGCAGGCCTGCTTGTAAGCAGGATTTTGGCCATAACCTGTATAATACTATAATAGCTTCAAGTTCTTGTTTATCTTTTACTTGGTCACAAGCCAAGTCCAACTTGGTTATAAGCTCCTTATTACCGATAATACAATTAGATTTGCATATGAGAGGTAAATTTAATTTACAGACCGTTCTATAACTTTAGTTTAAAAGCGTTTTCTACTGTGACTATCACAATCATACTTCATATTCATAGATTGTAGAGAAACAACCTAAACCTACATTAATAACAACCTACAACCATAACCATCAACCATGATGTTATGTTAACGAATTCGACGCGAATAACGATCAAATGTCCATGATAATAAATGATTTGATTTGATTTGATTTTGATTTGAAATATCGATAGACGATATTTAGAACTACATCGACTTCCCGAATCGATCGAATCAACGTGACGTCACGACTGACTAACAAGGATGGGAAAATCTGCCCACCCTATTATAATCCGAAAAAGCGCCGATGAAAAGAGCCGCTAACTTCACGACACGACGGTGGTCTACCCTAGTACTGTAGGCCTACTTTACTTTACTAAATTTTTACTGCTCTGCTAGCTCAACAATGGATGTAAAACCATAACCCTCACTATTGTGACTTAATTTCTTTCCATATTTTACACTTCAAATCGTAAGTAAACTTTCTCTCTCTCTCACTATTTAGAGTACTACATAAGTATTTTATTAAGAATTTGTAAATTTGTAAGAATTAAATTTTACAACATGAACATGTAGGCCTAACTTACTTCTAACTTTATTAGTATAAGCACAGAAAACATACTAGGTTATAGTAATATGTTTTCTGTGGTATAAGGCCTATTGATTGCTAGGTTAAAACTCTTATGCCTAAACAGTGTTGTTAACATGTAATTGGCTTTAAAAAAAAACCAAACCAAACTCTATATCATTCAGTTTAAATTGCTCTGTTTTGGCAGGGTAAATACCTAATCATAGCAACTTATTTTATCATAGCCTAAGTTAAATTACTGAAAACTGCATAGGGTAAGTTTAAGTAAAGTTATTGTTACCTTAGGCCTATCCAATTATGAAACCGAAAATCTAGATAATTTGGAACATCTAAAAAATAATAATAGCCTCGGCTAGAGGGACAATCTAGGCCTACGCTACTTACTTGTATACTTGTGTTGATCCCACTAGTAGCTTTCCAGCCGTGGTCGTCAAAATTGTTTAATTTTCAGGTAGGGCCTATCTTCTCTCAATCCTCCAAAAATTCTTCCAGCTTGTAATAGGCCTTTTCTATTAAATAATTTTTGAGGTTTTTCTTGAATACATTTTTGTCTTGGCAGCTTCTTATTTCTTCCGGCAATTTATTATATATCTTACTTGCAGTGTGATGTGGTCCAGCTGTCACTAATGATGTTCGGTGACAATTCAGGTGTATATGGTTTTGTTGCCTGGTGTTGTAATTATGTACTTCGTGGTTGCGTTTGAAGACTTCCGGAAATTTCCATATCATCATAGCTGATTCCAAAATATAAATGGAGGTAAGGGTGGGAACTTTAAGATTAATAAAAAGTGGTCTGCAATGTTCTAAAAAATGGGTTTTACAAATTATTCTAATAATTCTCTTCTGTAGTAGAAAGACTCTGTTTGCTTCACTGCTGTTGCCCCAAAGTACGATGCCATAACTCAATACGCTATGAAAGCAGCCATAATAAACTTTCATCAGGATATGATGATCCACTATGTTTTGTAGTCTGCGCATAAGACAACATACTACCACAAGTCTTGAGGTTATATGATCAATGTGGATATTCCATCTAAGGTTATTGCTTATTTTGATTCCAAGATAGTTTACGTTATCATTTATTTTTAAGTTTTGATTTTTTAATTTTAAGAGAGGGCTATGGTCAGGTGCCTTTGTGTTGAAAAAATTTAAAACTGATGTTTTGTTTTCATTTAGTACAAATTTGTTGTCGTTGCACCATTCTTCCATCTGATGAACGCCTATCTGGGACTTGCGTATTGTTTCCTCAGAGTTTTTATTATTAACTATATGGCAAACATCATCCGCAAAAAGCCAAAGAGCTCCCTCTTGTATTGTCTCTTGTAAATCATTGACATATAGCAAATACAGCACAGGTCCCATATTTGAGCCCTGCGGGACTCCAGTGTTGATGTTATTCTGAATTTTTGATCTGTATTGCCTTATGACATTATCAGCACCTAAGTTATTTACGGCTACTAACTGAGATCTATTTCCAAGAAATGACATAATACAATTTAAAGGTGCATTTACTATACCCAATTTTTGTAGTTTTAATCTTAGGATCGAGTGATTTAGGCAATCAAAAGCCTTAGTCATATCATAAAATAGTCCAAGTACTTCTTCCGAGCAATCTACCTTTTCATGTACATGGTTAATCAGCGAGAACACAGCATCAATTGTTGACTTATTTTTACGGAATCCATATTGATTAGAATTTAAAATGTCATTTTTTTCCAAGTATAGTATTAATCTATTTAAATATGCCACTTCAAAAATTTTTGAAAAAACTGACTGTATGGCCACTGGCCTATAATTGCTTACCTCCTCTTTACTATTCTTCTTGTGTATAGGAACGATTTTTGAAGTTTTGATTATGTCTGGAAATTTTCCTTCGTCAAAAGACTTATTAATGATCACAGATAATGGTTTTGCGATTACATCAACGCAAGCCAACAGTACCTTGCACGGAACCCCATCCACACCTGAACTAGATTTACGACATACTTTTTGTACAATTTCCACTATTTCTTTTTCATTTGTATGTTTTAGTTCTAATATTTCATGATTGGGTAAATCTACCAAATTGAAGTTTGGAAGGTCCGAGGATATAGGCCCACCTGAATTGGCTCCAACCAATTTATCTACTTCTTCGTAAAAATAATTATTAAACAGGTTAGCTACCACAATAGGGTTTTCTTGAACTAAGTTATTGGATTTAATTGTTAGGTTATCATGAGTTACAACTTCTTTTGTTAGGCTATGTACAATTTTCCAGGATTCTTTACTCACATTGGATGAATTAATTATTTTATTATTAAAAAACTTTTTCTTGCTATTTGCTACAAGTTGAGTGTGCAATTTCTTAGCTTTACTATATTCCATTTTTACTGTATTATCCTGTGTTATCCTACTTTGCCAATAAATATTTACAAGATTCTCTCGGGAATCAACCACTTCATCATCTATCCAAGCTGTGTCCTTTTCATTTTTTAACCTAACTACCTTTTTGGGGAAGCTAACCATAAAGCAGTACATAAAACTATCGTAAAAATCCTTAAAAGCTAAGTCACAATTATTAGGCCTATCATCATTTTCCTTGATCCATTCTTCTTGGTTCAATCTAAAAATAAACTCCTCCATGTTTGATTTGTTAAATTTATGCTTTTCTATTTTTAAGTTAACATTCTTCTTAATATCTAAGGTCAAATCTACAAAAAGCCACCGGTGATCAGACATAGGTGTTGCCATTACTCCGTGGTCTGTGAACTTTATGTCCTCGTTGACTGCAATATAGTCAATTTGTTTGGCAGTGGTGTCAGTCACCCTTGTGTCATCGGTAACTACCAAGAGCCAATTAGTCTGACACTCCTAGATCTGTGTAAGGCTTTCGACATTGTTTTACATTATGTCCTTTTAAGAAAGCTTGAATGTTGTGGAGCAACTAGTGTCGTACTGGAGACCTTTAAGTTTTACTTGAGAGGTAGGAATCAGGTTGTGGTTAGGGGTGCTTTTTACCTTTTACTTTTTACCTCTTCTTTCTTCGCCACAATCCTCAGATCGGGGAGTCGTCAAAATTTCTCCTTATCCATCTTCTTGGCAGCCTTTCAGCTGGGTGTAAGTGTGTATAAGTGTGTTCTTGTATGTATTTCTTTGTTGAGTAATATGGTTTGTTTATAAGGTAGTTTTTTAGTGTCTTTACAAATGTGGTATGATTTGAAATAGTTTTAATTTTTTCTGGCAGAAGATTTACTTAACTTATGTATTGTGATTGTGATAATGTGACCGGAGTGTTGGATTGGATTTTTTTGCTAGGATTATGGTTTCTAGGATGTATTGTGAGAAAACGGTGGGGATTTTGAGCTGGATGAAAAGGGATCTACAATGTTCCAGAGTGTGTCCTGCATATCGTCCGTAGTACTTTCTTTTGTAGGATAAGTAGCTTGTCCATATTGTTTGTAGACTATGATCCCCATGTTGCAATTCCGTAACTCAGGTGAGAAGCAAAAAGCGAGAAGTAGGCTATTCTGGAGGTTTCTTCGTCGGTTATGGTGCGAATTCGTTTGATGCCATAGTGTGCAGAGGCCAGTTTTTTACACAGATGTTCGATGTGCTGCTGCCAGGATACATTTTTATCAACAATTATTCCCAGGAATTTAGTGGTTTCTTGCGTTGTGATACTGATGTTGGTCCAGTCACTTTGATCTTCTAGGTTGTTGCTTGGTTTGAAATTGATGTGTGTAGTTTTACTGGTATTAAGTTTTAGATTTAGGTTATTGCATATTGTTGTTGCTTGTTCTACTGCTGTGGTTATGAGTTGTTGGTTATTTTTATTTCTATCTGTAGGTATTATTGTGGTGGTATCATCTGCAAATAAAATACATTTGAATTCTTTTGATAATTTTTCCGGTAGGCCTACATCATTTATCAGGAAGAAAAGTGGGCCAAGTATGGAGCCTTGAGGATGCCTTTTGTATTCTGTTTAAGTGGTGATTTGGATGCTATTATTATGTTGTTCACTTGCTGATCGGTTTCAACATATTGGTACCTATGGTCAAGATAGTTTTTTATTAGCGCCAATGCTTCTCCTTCAATATGTAATTTTTTAGCTTTTGTAGAAGTATATCCCAGTCCAATGAGTCAAACGCTTTTTGAAGGTCTAAGGCCCGCTGCATTTTTTCTGTCTACCCAAATACTTGTTTATGTCTTCGCAGAGTTCTGCAATTGCGGTATTTGTTCCTCGTTTCTTCCGGAAGCCATGTTGACAGTTTGTGAGTAGGTTGTTTGTTTCTAGGTGATTAATGATTTGGTCGTAAATTTCTCTTTCTAATAGTTTGGATATTGTTGGTAGGTTAGATATGGGCCTAAAATTTCCAGGATTTTCTTTGTCTCCTTTTTTAAATTTTGGGTGAATCTTTGAGATTTTTAAGTTTTTAGGTAGCCTATTTGATTTTTGTTGAGTGAGGCCTATTGATTATATGGAGTAAAGGTTCCGTTAACTTACTTCTTCTCTGTAAAGATTCTCTCTTCTGTAAAGATACAAGTCTTATTTTGTTGTTGTAAATAATTTATATTTATATTTAAAAATTGACGTAGTTTATTCAGCTATGCTGGCATTGACTTATAGTCAATGATGCTGGTCAACAACGCAGCTTTGGTAATAAGGTTTGATATTTCAGTAGCCGCAACTTAAGTTATGTCAAGTTATAAACAAGTATCTAATTTAAAGTTAGTACTGGTAGCCTAAGTTAGGCCTAACCATAATACTTAAGTTACAGTACTTGTATAGTACTTGTGATGATCCCACTAGAAGCTCCCCAGCCGCGGTCGTCAAAGGTATTTCAGATAGGGCCTGTCTTCTCTTAATCCTCAAAAAATCCGTCGAATTTGTAGTAGGCCTACTTAGGCCATTTCTATTCAGTTAGTTAATTGTTTAGCCTTTTCTTGAATATGTTTTATCTTGGCAGCTTCTTTTGTCTTCTAGCAGTTTATTAAATATTTTACTTGCTGTGTGATGTGTTCCCAGTATTAAGATAAGTTACCAATGATTTTCGGTGACAATTCTAATGTAGGCCAGTTTTATTGCCTGGTGTTATAATTATGTATTTCGTGGTTGCGTTTGAAGACTTCAGGAAATTTCCATATCATCATAAGTTAGGCCTAACTAATTCCAATATTTAAACGGAGGTAAGGGTGGGAACTTCAAGGTTACAGTTTAATGAAAATTGGCCTGCAAAGTTCTAAAAAATGGGTTTTACCTATTATGCTAATAGTTCTCTTTTGTAGAAGAAAGGCTCTGTTTGCTTCACTGCTGTTGCCCCCAAAGTACAATGCCATAACTCAATAGGGTAGCCTACACTCAGTGTTGGGAAGTAGCGAGATACTTTTTTTGTAGCGTGATAATTAGCTACGCTAGGTAGTTTTAAGATTTTGTAGCTTTAGCTGTAGCTAGCTACATTTTTGAAGTGGTTGTTGCAGATATTTAGCTACTTTTCTCGCTACATAAACATTGATTGATATTGTGATTTTTATCACAACATCACGTCCTCTTTCAAACTGAAATTTTCAAGAAAATTTGGCCAAACTACTTTCTTGGCTTCATACAGCTGGTTGCAGCCGTTGCATTAATACCGATTACAATTTTTTGTGGACATAGAGGCCATTATCTCAGTGTTATCCACATTTTTGGCTCTCATTTCCTCCATTTGCTACTCTATGATTCCTGTCAGATAAAATAAAATCGCCAGATGCAGACAACGTTTAAACGTTACTGGTGACAAGAGAACCTATTGAATGCTTGCAAGTGATTGACAGAGACATTTAGTAATCAATTTTGTTTCTTTATTTTATCGATAGTTTCAATTTGGGTTTTAATGGAAACCAACACTAAACCTTAAAATAATCAGATAGCTGGTCTATCCACCTTTGCTTCAGCTGTTGATTGTGTTTAATCATCATAAGCCCTTCCTTGGTTGGATTACAAAGATTTTTCTAAGGTTTGCATGTATGGATCTGTTTTTGTGTGTTAACTCCTTTCAAAAATGTCATTAGTGTGTTTGAATATGGTGGATGGATGAGCCTATATAACGCTAGGCACAAGTCCAGAATTGTTTTTCATATTTCTTCAGGCTAGACCTAGGGGTTGCTGCATTATCACTTAGGCCTAAATACAATCCATTGGTGACTTGGCGGGTTCTTAACCCAGCACCTCAGGGACTGAAGTCCTGCACTCTAACCACTACACCAGCACGCTCCCTCTATTTATTTTTTAGGTTTGAGCTGTACTGTAGACTCCCTCTTATCTGGACTCCTCGGGACCGAGGCCAGTCTGGTTAAGCTAACATTCCCAAAAACTCGTTAAAACGGACAATTTAAATGCATACTGGACTATATAAGTAGGTATTCGACTTAAATTTAGGAAAGCATTGTATTTAGACAAGTGATCACTGGTCTCTAATCTTTCTCATGAGAACTGTCGTTTCAGTACCGCCACTTCCTGCCGATCTTGTCCGGTTAAACCAATGTACTGATAAAAATTGTCCGGTTATAAACCTAGAGATGTCATTTCCGCCGAGTGTAGTCTGGGTAAACCGGTGTCCGGTTTAAAGTTGTCTGGATAAGAGGGAGTCTACTGTAGTCACATCCCGGTTTATCACAAAGCTGCCCAGACAGCCAGTAGTGTGTGTGTTAGTTTAGATATTCTATGTTGATGTTGATATATTTATCTCAGACAACGTTTAGAACGTCAATATTAATAAGGTGACTGAAATTAAGTTTCCTACTAATAAGCTTTTGATTAATAGGCCTAAATTTAATCTTTTATATCTGTATTAAAGTAAAGCTTTAGCTACACAGGACATTGCCTATTATGTGAGCACTAGCTCACAAGTAATAGGGTAATATAAATAATAATGAAGGTTAACTTCAGATATTTTGCCTTTAAGGTATTGTGAAGTACTGATTATCAGAAATGTTAAAAATGGATGATGCAAAAAAGTCTAAAAAGAAGAAAAATTATGTATCACTGGAGGATAAAGTTCCGAAGAAGAAAAGTAAGAGAATGGTTGAAGAAGAGATAGATAACCTTGATATGATTGTTGATAATAATCCAATTGATGAAAAGGTCGAGGACCTAGCCATTGGTAAGTATTTTTGTTTTAAGTAAGTCAATATTAATTTCAGATTAATTTATAAGCAAATCCCATTGGTTTATTGATGGGATTTGAACAATTTTGGTGCTTTAACCATTAAACTAGTCATCCCTCACTTATAAAAAGACTTATGAAATAAATCTCAAAAATTTTTTTTTAATTATATTTGTCGCATACATTTATGCCTCATTGTTCAATCTCTTTCTTCTTTACCATAACAAAAGTGTCATAATACTGGTTTATTTATGTTATTTGTTAAGGGGGTTATTTGGTTTTGACTTAAATCCTGCTTAAGAAAATCTAAAAAAGAATTGAGACTTAAACCATGCGTCAGTACACATCAAAGAGTAAAAACTTGAAAACAGGACAATTATTGCTGTCCCCAGCTATTTATACCTCTTCCGGTATCTATTCCTGCTCCAAATAGCTTTAAAATAATTTATTATACCTTCCTTTGAATATAAATGTTTATGTTTCTCGATTTTAATACTATGTAGTAAAGAAAAGTGTGTTTGAAAAGTTCCAAAATGGGTATATTTAGTGAAAAACCCTGTCCCCTAGGTTAGAAGTTGGATACATAAGCTTATATTTTCAGTAATATTAAGGCAATACATTTTAAATAGTTGGTTTGAATTAATTTATAATGTTAAAATATTGACAAAAATTACCAAACAGGCTTTTTAATGAAATTATACTGGCAATAACGATCATTAAAAGTCACGTCCCTGGCCGTGAATGTAATGCTGGGTTTGAGGGTCGAAATCAGTTCTCGTCAGGTCTTTCAACCCTATCGACTACGGGCGGATCGATATTTCGGCCTTTCTCAGTTCATTGTTGCTGTGGGTGAAGTAGGTTAGGCGTTATGTCATGCCAGGCTTTCCAGTTTATTCGGAAAGTCTTTATTTAAAATCTGTTTTGTAAGCGTTAAGTTTTTGTGTTATGGTCGGTACTGATAATAACTGTTACAATAAGGCAAATAACTTATTTAAAACTAAGGAAATATAAGCCAAACTTTTGGCCAGCAAAGGGAACCATGGCCTCTATATCCATTTTAGTAAATGATGTGGCATACTTTATGCCACACCTTGGCGATCAGGTCAGGCGATTCAAGATCCTGACCAAATCGTTCTTGTTGGAAAGGTTAACTAAACACATTATTTAACACAGAGGAGACAATTTACCGCAATTCACAGGCCCTAAGAGCCAGCTTTGATGAGAGTTTGATTAATTAAGGCATTATAACACTGAAATACGTGGATTGTTCAACTTAGTGAATATTTAGCATATAAGTCAACTGGACACAACGTGAACTACATTTGAATTAATAATCAATAATAAATGACGGAATAAAAGACATAATGAATTTGACTACTGTCGGGTCAAAAAGTATAGATACTCGAGTTTGAGCTTTTATTGCAACGTAACCAGTAGACTTAGAAAAATACAAGTTACATCATAATTTTACAAATTTATTTCCACGTTTATGTGTGTAGTTTAAAAATTTTTAATGCAGTTTCAACTCATCCTTTCAGCGGGTTGAATAAAAAAAGTACACGTTTTTCGGCACTTTTCTAACAACGGGCGACTTTAAAATTTTATAACAAAAAAACTACTGATCTAATCGTCATGAAACTTTGACAGCCTTTAGAACATATACTTATAATGGATATCTGTAAGTTACAGAATTTTTCATCCATTAAAAAAAATTCTCTTGTGGTTTTTGTAAAGGCATTTTATTTCAGGTACGGAACAAGTAAGAAACTACGACGAAAGCTTGAATTAAAGCTCATAAAAAGATATAAATGAAAAGTTAATTTACAGATTTGCTAAATGGCATTGAATAATTAAAATGTACGTATAATCAAAGCAGATTTGAAACGCAGTAGTGCGTGAAATTTGTACCGTTATCGATTCGCAGGCAGGGAGCCCGGGACCGGTTTTCGGCGGCCCGGACCAGACCGCCAAACCTCATCACCACAATAGTACCCTACCCCTAAACCATATCTTTTCTTAAACTGGGTATCTCTTTTCATTACATTTAACACCTTCGTTCTTGAAAAAAACCATATTGCACTTAAAATCATAGCAATTTCACCTTCGGATAAATGTGGCACTTTAGGCATCTTGACTGGTGTGATTATAACGAACAACGCAGACAGACTGAGGGAAATATGTTCAGACCAAAATAATAACATTGTAGGGATGGAATGTAGATAACTACTAAGTAAAGTATGACTCAGTGGTACGAGTAAGGGTGGTTTGTAGGCAGATAATCTCGCGTGGTATGTATGATTCATCGCTGGAACGTCCGGGCTATAATCAACTTTAAACATCAGATAGAAGTGGAAAAACATAAAAATCTAAACATCAATTTTTTAACTCGTACCAAATTATTGATTGCACAGTTTTTGAGTGCATAGGCTTCGCCCAGTAGCCGCCGCTCGTGAAGGGTAAAAATTCAGTTCTGCATAGGTCAAACTCTTTAGCAAGCAAATTATTGTGCACTCAATACTAATTTTACCGCAGGCCTACAGTACTAATTTTGCAGGAGTCAATGAAAATGGAGACACTTGGACCTCAGATGATTATAAAGAATTGATAAAAAGGATGGAGGCACAAATACCCAAACATGATTCATTGAGCTTTGGGAGTAGATCAGAAAAGCTGAACTGGGAACAGGTAATAAATTATACCAAATATTGTTTAAGCAAGGACTTAATATAAATTCTCTGTCTCTGAGCCTCATGATAATTGTGACTTTTAGTTTCAATCACCTTTGTCACATCCTACCATTTTGTAAATGTGTAATTTATTTTGGAGCAAAGGAAATTAGTTTTAAATCAATAGTAAATAAACAAATGGGGTTTCTCTTTCTCATAATTATAAAGGATCAAGTAAAAATTAACTAGTAATTTTTCCACTGCTCTTTGTTGTAAAAGGACTTAAATTGTGTAGAATGATAAAGAGAAAGGTATATTAGGTACAAAGGTTTTACTTAATACAAAAACACAACATAACTTTCCACAAAACAACATTTGGTATCAGCACACCAGATACACAGTTCCACAAATCCAAATCTTCCAGGTAAGCTTGTACTGCAAATTTCCATGTACCAAAATTCTCACGACCTTTAATCGTTCAATTGGTAATAAATTTTGAGTTATATTGCTGTTACAAACTTATGAAGTCGGTATTCATTAAATGGAGCACTGAATAAAATATCCTGGGCCCATAACCTGTTGTAAAAGGACTTAAATTGTGTAGAATAATAAAGAGAAAGGTGTATTAGGTACAAAGTTTTACTTAATACAAAAACACAACATAACTTTCCACAAAACAACATTTGGTATCAGTGACAACTAACTTGTACAGAACACAGGTGATACCAAAATTAACTATTCTCACAAATAATATTTCAATATCATATTTGTCCGTTTTAAGGTCAACAAACAAACAAACAAACAAATCTTACATAAAACTTTTTCGATATTGATGATAATAGACTTAATATTTTTTTCAGATCAAATTCGGTAATCATTCAATAGATGAGTGCTACGGCAAATGGAAATTAATCAAATCAAAGGTTCGTCACTTCAGATTGCTTAGCGAAATATTACAAGATGCCAAAGTTTGGGCTGAACAGCCTTGGTCAGCCCCACTAAGCAAGAAAAAGGTAACAACAATTTTTCATTATACTTTTTTATTTTAAAATTCAAAATTTTGATTGCCTTGCATATAACAGTGAAATGCTAAAACGGTTATCTAGCAGCAATGGTCAGGTGCCTCAAGGCTGATCCTCCGAGTCTGGTTCTGGGCTCGCCCCAAGGTCAAATCCTGGGTAAACCCTACAAAGCACTCATCGTAATACATTAACTTCGAATTTAAATCCTCCAACTGAGCAGAAGAGGGTCATAACGCAGGCACATCTTGATTCTTAGGAACTGAACACCCAAAAAGGCCTTATCATTGTCCAAATTATGAAACAGCGTCACTCATTGTCCTCATGAAGTGACACTCATTGTCCTTATATCAGCGTTCAAGAGCCTGTTGCCGGTTAGCGGCTTGAAACTAGGTCAACCGCTCCAGTCCATTCTACAACGATTTGGATTGAAGTTCTTAACCACCCCTTGGCAGGCGATACTTGTACGCTCAGGTTTGGACGCTCAGGTGGTGGACAGGTTTGTAGGGCGCGCTCCATAAAAACTAATAATCTATGGTTTAGGTGATCAGTCTAACCACATCTGTCAAGTGGCCAGAAACGAGCGTTACAGTCTGGGCCGATTATGGAACCTTTGGCAGCACCAGAAGTGACACTCATCGTCCGCTGGCCCTCTGTAGTGTCATACGTGAGGAGGCGGAACCGGAGATAATCCTCTATGATGCGCATGAGGTATGCCGGAACGTGAATTAAATGCACCTCGCGGAATTAAATGCATTTTGCACATCCAGTGTTACAAGCAGCACAACCCTACGAGAGTAGATGGTTAAAATCCTCAGCTCTCATCACGGCTTGCTTCACCTCCTCAATCGCATCAACCGTTGAGCAAGGTAGGAGATTAGATTTCTTTAATTTTCAAAATAATGCTAATCCTTCTCAAAATAAATTTTCTTCCAAATTGGTAACTGGATAATGATATGACAAAAATAATAAGATCCCTTAATCCATCAAACAGTAAAGATGGTTACGGTCTTTCAAACAAAGTTGTAAAATTAAATGCCCCTTACATTATGGAACCACACTGATACATCTTGTAAATATGGTGTTTTCTAGTTTAACCTTTCCTTACCTAAAACCTCCAAATCGTGGCAAAATCATGAACGACTCCTTTGGCCATAAAGTAATAGTCAACATCTTGCGCGAATGTGGCAACGTCATCTCTGTCTCCTCTAATCGTGGCAAAATCATGAAAGTGTTCTGTGGCCGCGGAGAAAAAGTTGATGTCTTGTGCGAGTGCGGAGACGTCATCCTCGTCTCTTTTGATGATATTGAAATCGTAAAGATCATCCAAGTTTTTTGGGATATGATCTTTGATTCCCAGGGTCGTGATAAAATCCTAGACATCTTCTGATTTCATCAACATCTCCCGCAAAACAGATTATCGCCTTTATCGGTTAGCTAAATTTATCAAGAAAAATATTTGAGACCCAAAGTGAGGCCCCCTGGCAACCGCATTAGGGGAATACGGCCCTGGTTCTATTCAAAATTCACATAAAGTTAAACATATGTTTTCCAGCCTAAATCAACATATGATTCCTGGTTTCTTTGGTCTCTTAATCAGCTGGACACCCTCATTAGTACTTAAGAACAAAATCATAGCTTTGTTTTCAACTAACCTTTTACCCTCAACACAGCTGAACATTCAGATCAGCGGGACTCTAGTGAGAAACATAGTATTAATAATATCAAACACTTTCAGGTTCGTCATCCAGATCAGCCTCCTCGTCCTTTGTCTTCATTCATGTTGTTTTACATGGAGAAAAAAAGTAAAATCATAAAAAAAAATCCAGAACTCAAGCTGGTAAGTTGCTTTTCAATATAAATTTTATATTGTTTTTTTTTTCAATTACATCATTGCCAGATTAATGTTCAAACATATATGTAACAATCTAGTTAAAAATGTATTTCATATTTTAATCTTAACCCTTTGCTGTCGCATTTATCTTTCTCTTTTCCTTTTCTATAGATCGGGAAGGCCACACTTAGTGGCCCTCTCCATTTTGAAATGAAATGAAATGAAAAATGTCTTTATTTAGCCAGCGTTATTCAAAGAACAGTTCTTTGTTTTTCAATACAACTGTTGTCAAACTAAACTTAATTAATCAGCTTATACTAGACTTATTGCAACAATACATTTTAGATCAACTGGGTAATTTGTTGGTAAAAAATAAACCTTTCAAACCCCTTTTAAACTTAGAGAGGTTTACTAATTTGAGGTCAGTTGGAAGGGCATTGTAGGCTTGGGGCCCAAAGTAAGAAAAGGCTTTCTTCCCTAATTCCGTTCTGACCCGTGGCAAGTGTAGCAAGCCTTAGTTAGTGTGATGACAGTGTCATCTGCATACATTGTGGTTTGGCAGTATTCTTGTGCAGATTGAGCTTAGTTGCAGATTGCAGATACTTTAATCTAATCCTCATTTACAGTTCCCACACTCCGGACTGCTCGCATTTACTACTTCCTTCACGACTTCCTACGTCACGCACCTGTTTCCTTCCCATTGCATTTTAAGATTGCAGATACCTTAATCTAATAGGCATATAGCCTACAGTTCCCAAACTCCGGACTGCTCGCCTTTACTATTTCCTTCACAACTTCCTACGTCGCGGACCTGTTTCCCTCCCTTCCCATAGCATCTTTAGGATTGCAGATACCTTACTCTAATTGTTATAAAGAGTTCCCACACTCCGGACAGCTCACCTTGACTACTTCCGTCACAACTACATACGTCACAGACCTGTTTTCCTCCCTTCCCATTGCATTTTAAGATTGCAGATACCTTAATCTAATCGTCATATACAGTTCCCAAACTTTTAAATTTAAACATCTTTGCCACCAAGACTGATAATAGTATAATAGTACCTTGTTCCGTCTTCAGTCTTAACTTAGTCAATGGATGACTAGTTTTGGGAACAAAGTCCCATTATCAAATCCTTATTTAAAACATCATATTGAATATGGTCAAATATCCGACGTAAGTCTTCATCAATGTATACATGCAGGTTGACGACACATAAAATTTACACGTTTTACAAAAATAAAAGTTACAAATACATTTACGATAGGCCGGCCACATTGAATTGAAGTTCCCACACTCCGGACTGCTCGCATTTACTACTTCCTTCACCACTTCCTACGTCGCGGACCTGTTTCCCTCCCTACCCATAGCATTTTAGGATTGTAGATACCTTAATCTAATTGGCATTAACATTTCCCACACTCCGGACTGCTTGCCTTTACTACTTCCTTCACCCCATCCTACTTCGCGGACCTGTTTTCCTCCTTTCCCACTGCATTTTAGGATTGCAGATACCTTAATCTAATTGGCATTAACATTTCCCACACTCCGGACTGCTTGCCTTTACTACTTCCTTCACCACATCCTACGTCGCGGACCTGTTTCCCTCCCTTCCAATAGCATTTTAGGATTGCAGATACCTTAATCTAATCGTCATAAACAGTTCCCACACTCCACACTGCAAGCCTTTACTACAATCATAGATAAAAAAGTCCTGCTACAATGTATCGAGTAATCTTCAGTATAATCTTATGCTCAATAGTAGCAACTGATGTTTTTCCTTTTGTACTGTATTTGTAATATGCTAGTATACTGTGGATAGACAACTAACTTACAAGTCTTTTGTTTACTTTTTCCTTGTTGTTTAATTCAGCCAAGATGGTTACTTAGCAACCCATAAGACTAATGTAGGTGAGTGAGCGTAGCGAAAGAACTTCAACCCGTAGGCGAGGCAGCGTAGCGAACGAGCTCCAACCGTAAAGGTGAGTGAGTGTAGCGAACGAACTTCAACCAGGACGTGTGAGCGCAGCAAACGAGCTCCAACCTAAAGGTGAGTGAGCGTAGCGAACGAAGTTCGACCAGGACGTGATTGAGCCATGCAAACGAGCTCACATATGAAGTTAAACGGGGCAAAGCCCGCGGGTACAGCTAGTATACTATAAAATTTAAATTTTAATATTTTAAAACGTTTATAATTTTTTATAACTTTTTGATGCATAAACTATAAATTTTCGGAAACATACTTATGTTATGAGACCACAACAACAGTTCTAAGAAGAAATATTCATAAATAAAGATATAATAAAAAAAAAATAACAAAAGGTGTATTTTTCACAAAAAGGCATTTTTGGAATCTTTGCTTGGTACAATTATTGCTCTGTAACAATTTAGCCATTGCAGTTTTTCTTGTGAAATTATTACATCTACAGGGTGTCCCGGAACTCTCTACCAATATTTTAGGGCATTGTTCCTGGGTAGTTAACATACCTAAACAGGGTGTCCACATTCTGGAAAGTCAGGGATAGTCATGGAAAGTCATGGAAAAAAATTTTGGTCATTGAAAGTCAGGGAAATAGGCAAGAAGTCATGGAAAGTCATGGAAATTTCCAATTATGGATGGATTTGAGGGGACCATTCAATGCTCTAGTCAGCCGTAACCCGGACTGTTGTAGCATTTTTCAGGATTTTTCACAAATGTTCGACAATTCAATTTATTACAGTTGTATTATTTTATGAGTTTTCGGTTTGTTTTAGTTCATTTTTGTACCTATTGTACTCCATTGTTATGTGTTATTACATATTTCAGTATTTTCTGCAAAATAACATGTCCAGGCAGTATTATTTGTGTGTGTATGTTATATTATAATTTGCGTATAAAGATCGTGAGTCATGGAAATCAATGGTAAATGGTCATGGATAGTCATGGAAAGTCATGGAAATTAATGACAAATCTTTTGTGGACACCCTGCTAAATATCATATTTAAATTGTCCGGAAGTCCTTAGTCACTCACACAGCCGCCATTTTGTTTTTTTTAAGTCATTAATTTTTTTCTAAGGAATGGTGAAACATATGAAATTGAAACTTTGCACAAAAATTTATGACAACTAGACAAAGCTACCTAAAAATTATGACGATTTTTGAAATTCATAAAACAAAATGGCAGCCATTTTAAATTTTGTTTCTTTAATAACTCGAAAACCGTTGATTTTACAAACATTTTACAAGAATAACTTTTTTAAGGCAATTTTATTACAAATCGATTGACACCTTAATTTTGAAGATTGGACAAGTATTAACTGAGATATGGAAGTTTTAGTGATACGTGACCGCTTTCAGCATGCGCTGCAACTAACCTCCAGTGGTCTAACTAACTAACTCACTTAAAATGAGGTTACTAACCTGTCGTCAATCAGTCCTATATTGTCGTTGATGACTAGTTTCGGGGCTAAAACCCTATTTTCAAATCTTCTCGTTCAGTCGTCATATGTCAAACATATCTTCTTGCACAAGCTGTCGTCAAAGTTATTTCACACATAAACATAACACAAATACGAAAACGTTTATAATACAATACAAAGACATGTACATTCGCGTGTGGCCAGCCAAGGACAAAACCAGACTGCGGGGTTTGATTAGACTGTAGGTTAGCCGATGCCTACTTGATGGTGTTGACCTTGGGGGAGGGGAATCAGCTGTTTATCTCGTCTATTGTTTTGTAGGTTTGTCACTCTGTCAAATAAAATGTTTGATCCAAAATTTAACTTCTCGTTCAAAACATCATTTGGGGAATTTTTGATTGCCTTGTAAATTTCAAAGGTTTCAAGAGCGTTCATTTTGTTACCTTTATTACATTTGTGTAACATCTCTAAATTATCTATGCAACTGTTGACATTGTGATTTTCGTTCATTAGGTGTTCTGCAAACTTAGATTTTTGTGTTTGCAATTTAGGCTTGGGGAGATGTTCTACATACCTTTTACGAAATGAACGACCTGATTGACCTATATATACCTTGGGACAATCGTTGCATGATAATCTGTACACGCCGGATGTTTCAAGGCTGTTACTATTATCAGGAGGGGGTGTGTTCAATTGTTGTTCTAGTTTATTGGTAGTCTTACATGCAAGAATGATGTTTTGTTTTTTCAATTCATTTTTCAAGGTGAAATGTAGATTATTGCCAAACTCAATGGATACGAATTTAGAATTAGGTTCATCTGGAGACTTTTTGTTCTTCTGTTTATTAATTATTTGATCTTAAATGCTGCTTGAGTAACCATTATTTACTGCTATGTATGTTAGAATTGTGTACTCAATGTTGTAATCTTCTTGGGTCATTGATTTTCCTGAAGTTTTATTAGAATCATTAAAACCAAAAGATAGATAAATTGTTGCGAAATTATGTTTCTTGTCATTCTTGATTAGTTTAAATTTAGAATTGCTTTGTCATTTACAATGTCAAAATTTGTGGTACTCTGTGATGAAATATCAATAATTTGAGTTGTACAATTAAAATTTCCCTCTAATTGATCACAAACACTTGACTCGTTGGAGGACACAGATAGGCACTCATCACTAGCACTACACACTGCTGGGATGGGTTGAGGTAGGTCGTCTCTAGACTCTGCATGGCTGTGCTCCACAACTGGCTCGGCTCCGTCACTTCCACATGGAAGCTGATTGGAAGATCTCACTGCAGACTCCTTTACCATTATTTCTGCCACTTGAATTTCTTGACGAAGCTTGTTTATGAAATCGGGAAAGTTTACTCCGTTATAAAGTTGTCTGGATGAATGTTCTTGCTTTGCAACTACACAAACTGCTGCTCCTGTATTAATATGGAGTTTCACTATATTCTTGGCAAACTTTTCAATGGAGATGCGGTCCCTCACACAACCCATTGGAGAGCATACCAAGCTTTTGAAGTGGTTTGAGTTGATACTTCTAATAAGGTGTGAAAAACACAAATTATAGTCTTCCAGGTTTTGCTGAGAATTTTGATTTTGTTATCAGTCCGTAAATCCCTGCTCCATTATTGGTTTGCTGGAAGGATAAATATTTGTTGAGAAGGTCAGAGGTCTGTGGTCTTCCAAAAATCTTCTTAAAAACTCCAGCCACGCCTGCGCTCATATTTCTTTCTTCATGGAAATCACTGGATATACAATGCGCAAAAGCAACTGAGTTGTTGTTCTTAAAACGGCTGATAACGTCAGACATATTTCCTTCTAGTATTTGTATACCTTCCCATTCATGTAAAGACTTGTTGGTTTCAAGGTTATTACTTTTTCCAGCTGTGGATTGGTTTTCATTATTATCGGGTTTAGCATGTTTAGTTGTTGAATTTATTTTCATAGTTTGCCTTACAATACTAACTATTTGTTTACCAATTCTATTTTTCCCTAAGTGGTTAAAGTGAAGACCATGGTTTGTGTAAAAATGTCTGGGTAAACAATGAAGTGGAAGTATTGAAGGTTTGTGTGGTAATGTTTCTATTATTCTCTCTATTTGACAGTTTATATTAGTTATTTTATCATCCAGGTCTGGGTTGTCATGACGAAGAGACAATGTTGCAATGATTAGGTTGGTGTGTTCTGAGACCTTTGCCAGATTACCAATTTTTTTAGGTAATTTATATGCACTTTTTGTTTAAACATCATTTGTACCTCCAATTACCACGACAAAGTCATTCTTGGTAAAACCTTTTGTTGCTATTTCCACATCATGTGTGACTTGGTCAAAAGTTGCGTTAGGTCTTGCAGTTGTTGATACAGAAAGGAAAGTCTGTTCTTGAACGTATCTGTTAATTTCTTTACCATGGCTGTCAGCGAGTATAAGGACTTTACCATTTGTTAGGCCCTTCGAATCGGTCGGAAGTCGAGTTAGACAATTCCGAACTAAATGGTTTCTTTTCTTTATTTTTTTGCCAGATTTCTTTTCCATCCTAGAATTTTGCTTTGTCTATTGTTTTTGCTCACCAACGTCTCATCATGGTCTTCTTGATCAGCATGGTTCAACATGGTGAATCTGTTGATTGTAGTAATAGATGTACTGTTGTGTTGTGTGACAGGTAGGCCTAACTTGTTTGACTTATCAAATCTCACCTTAATCCAGTCTTCATTGTTTTTATTTGTGCTTTGTGTTTGTGTGGTTACATCACATGTAAGAGGCTTTGAAGATGCGGTAGAGTTGTTACTGGCTGAGAAATCTTGTTCGGTTGTAAGTAGGCGTATTTCATCATTTGACAGCATTACGCTGTTTTTTAATATGTAGGCTAAGAGGGATGTTTTTTTAATGAGATCAGTCAGGGACACTGTAGGTAGACTGTAGGTAAAGAGTTCATTCAAATTTAATGTACTGTGATTAATAGGTTTTGATCCAAAGACTAGGAGTTCAACAAACATACAGACATATATTCCGCAATCATAAGAGTTGATCTGCTTAGGTCCATCGACAATTTGAAAATGGAAGCCAGGCACATCTAAATACTGTGACACTTTATTTGCTACGACTTTAGCATCTTTCAAGTTATGTTCACCCAATGAGTCATAGTAGAGGAAGCAGTTGTTTGTCTGTGTTTACACAAGAACACTCCAGTGAGAGCCACTCACACCGTCCAGTTGCTTTGAATCATTTATTGGCATGATCAAAGTTTTAAAGTCCTTTACTTTAAGGGAGTCAAAGAAGTGTGTGTAATCATCCATATTTTTCACGGTATGGCATATTAGTGGATTGATGATCAAACATTTATGTACAAAAAAATCTAGAATTTATAAGGTCAAAGTATCGCTGCAAAGTTAAGTCAGAGAGCCATTGGTTGCTGAGTAGCTCATCTGTTACCAAAGTGTTGTTGTAGATATTTTCTGTCTGTGTTTCAGTTGAAATAAATTGGATTTTCTGACTTGTACTCAGTGATACATCATTCAGTTTACAACTATTTGAGAAACTTAATTCACTCAAAGAACTTGTTGAGCTATTGAGTGATAGATTAATTTTACTACCAGATTTTTTTGAAGTGGAAAAGTTGAAATCTTCTATTTTCAAGTTTAAATTATTCTCTTTTATGTATTTTACAAGCTCAGTTTTTGACCTGAAAAGTTTCCCATTTGGGGATTTGACATATATATCCGTCTTTCCTTTGCTTAGACCATTTTTCCTAACATGTTCTTCTCTAATCCAACCTTTTGGCATGGCAGAAAAAGTATTTTTATTTACAGCCATTATCAGATTTTAAGAAAATATATTTTTAAAATACCAAATCAAAACAAACAAAAATCAACAAACTATTATAAAGAAACAAATTAAAAGTCCAGTCTTAAGATAGCAATGTTTATTGTTTGTAAACAAAGTAATTGAGTTAGAGCAACAGGTGCTCTTATCTCGCAGTACAAAGGTCAGTAGCTTGCACCTTGAGCTGGTCCCTCCTTATCAGCAGGCCTTATCAACTTTGTAAAAGTAGTTCATGAAAAATCATAAAAATCCTTTATCTTTTGTTATAGATTATGATAGTAAAAATTCTTTTTAAAACATACTATACTTACATTTTCATAAACATAAACATTAGCTCCATGTTTGTAGCTAAAAATATTTGAAAAAGATAGAGTTTTACCACTGATATATCGAAAAAACAAGGGAGCACAAAATCACATGCTGTTCATGTCAAATACTAGTGGATGTTACGTCATCCATGGTGATTTGTAGAACACAATATAATCAAAATCAGCCACCGAACCTCACCACATCACAATAAGAGAGCAACTACCTTGTCTCCCAGTTGTAGTCGCGGGACTTGTGCCTGGAATGGAAATGGCACGACAAACTACGCGCGACATGTGCCACGACATGGCCTCGACATGTGCCGTAACTTGTATCTGCGACTTGTAGGAATGGAAACGTAGCTTTATGATAAATCCGCCGCTGGTGGCCACACATAGTGGCCTACCGACCATTCAGGGTTAATAATGCTCCATAACCAGATCTTGTTATGAAAGTCTTTGTTATTTTTTGAAATGTTTGATGGTACAGTAGACTCCCTCTTATCCGGACTCCTCGGGACCAAGGCCAGTCCGGATAAACTGATGTCCCCAAAAACTCGTTAAAACGGACCGTTTATGGTGTTATTCGACTTAAATTTAGGAGAGCATTGTATTTAGACATGTGACCACTGGTCTCATATCTTTCCCATGAGAACAGTAGTTTCAGTACCGCCCACTTCCTGCCGATATAGTCCGGTTAAACCAATGCGCTGATAAAAATTGTCCGGTTAAAGAGATGTAATTTCCGTCGAGTGTAGTCCGGTTAAACCGATGTCCGGTTAAAAGGTGTCCGTATAAGAGGGAGTCTACTGTAATTAACATTTAATATGTATGCATAGTATGCTTGGATACAAAATCTTAGTTATGAAAAATGGGGTACAGATCACCGTCGAATCTGATGGTAAGATGACCTAACAAAGCTACCCATACTTGTTGCAGACTGAAATATCACGAATAATTGGAGAGAAGTACAAGGCACTCACTGATGAAATGAAAAATTACTACAAGGAAAAGGCTAGAGGCATGCAAGAAGAATATAAATTAAACTTGGCCAAGTTTTAGTAAGTCTATATGGTGGTTGTTTGGTGGTGGTTTGTGGTTGTTTGTATCAATAGTCATAATGGCTTGTCCGTAATTGAAAACTCCTAAACCTCCAGATAATTCCAGAGGAGGTAGAAAAGGTGGTGAGCTCAATAAAAATTAAATACCCCAGCCATAGCAAACCTGCAGAATAAGCGAATTTCCGTTTGCCTGATTGGATTTACACTAAAATATCTCATTAAAAATATCACATTTTTATTACCTATTTAAATAGCATTAGTTTAACGTTGTACTTGGGTTTGCTGCAACAAGAAGGGTAAAAAAAGAGTTTTTAGCAAAATGTTAATAGTTTAGTATGAAATAAATGCATTTTCCAAATTTGATCAAAATATGTTCATAAACAAGCAAACTACAACAAGTTTACTTATTCTCCATAAGAACAACGAGGGAATTTTAAATTTAAAATTTTTTTTGATTTTTCTCTGTAATTGTTAGGCACATAACAACGCTTCAATATACTAAATTGATTGTTTTTTTTTTAGCTCTACAAAATGGTTTTGAAATAAATTGCAAAATTTTATGTTTTTAATTTTTGACCCCCATAGAACCCCCCATAAACCCCCGTTCCCGTGGTCCGATCATGCTGGTTCGCAAACTCGTTCGAATAAATGTAGGTTTAAATGTTTGTACCAAACTTCATAAAATCGGATCATTTTTGCTTGAGTTATCGTGCTAACGGACATATATATATAAATAACTCGCCTTTGGCTCGCTGGGGGCTCCGCCCCCAGGCCCCCTAGCTGTTAGTCGTCATTAGTAGATTAGAGTTAAGTTGTAACAAAGCAAGAAGTGAAACCGTCAATATTAAGTTATATAAGTTAACTTTGAGTAAGATAACTTCTAGCTTAAGGAACACCTCATAAAAAAATCATTTTTTAAGTTGCGGTAAGTGAGTATGTTAGTCAAGTATTTTTACAATTGAGTTTTTGGTCAAAGGAAGTAATAATATGAGGAGAGAAGGGTTCGTTATAGTAAAAATCGACATTAAAGTAATAACGATTTCATGAATTTATTAGAGGAGATTGATAAGTTAATAAGTTGATAATAGTAAAGTATTATATGAAGTAAATAGATTATAGTAGATATTCAAGTATATAATTACGAAAATAGATTAAGTAAGGTTTGTTTCCCTGTCGGTTAGCCATAAACTTTATGGCATATCCAGTTCCGCCACGAGGAGGCCAGGAAACGTCGGAACCATATTTGCAATTATTTGCTCCCTGGTGGAACGACCCAGCAGGGAATTCGAATTTTCGGGGGGGTTAAAATTTGAAAATGCGACTTTTTGGAATTTTATGGGTGGTTTGGGCACTAGACCTACAACCACCGAAAATTTCAAGTCTCTAGCTCATCTAGAAGTGGTCTAGAATTTGTATCCCCAGTCAGTTACACATCGGATTGTATAGTATTTAGATTAATGAAATTCATATATATATATGAATTCATATGAATTTGAACGGATAGTGTTTTTGGCCTCTATGAACCTCAATAAAAGTAAAACTGTCCCGGGTCCAGGTCTTACCATGAGTACTACGGTAATAGCTTATTCCCTATATGGGAAATTCGCTAACATTCCCTATATGGGAAATTCACTAAAACAGCACTGGCAGTGGTTACTGCAGTGGCGTAATTATTTCATCGAATTTCGCCCCCCCCCCCTGCACCACATGAAGATGGCGCCACCCCCTACGAGATAGCATCACCACTTATGTTTTATTCTTTTATCTCAGCAAAAGCCGTGATTGCGGCAAAATCCAAAATCTCTCACGGAAGTTTTTTTAGCGTCTCCCTCGGTCATGGAAACATCGTCATGGTTTTTACGCAATTGCAGCAAATTCATGAATTTTGTCTTTGGTCCAGTAGACATTTTGTTCGTCTCACGCGGTCACTATAACGATGTAAACTTTTTTACACAATCGCGGCAAATTTATGAATATTTTTTTGGTCTTGTAGACATCATGTTCATCTCCCGCGGTTTCGGAACGGCGACATAATTTTCCGCCTTTTTTGTAAAATCTTTAATATCTTCTTCGCGCTTGAAGATATCATCAACATCTCTCAAGGTCATGGAAAGAAATATTTCCGTGATTGCGGTGAGCAGTGACAGTCGGATTTTGGTGCTCCCTGGACCTCGGCATGCGGGGTAGCTATTTACTCCACTACTCTACTGGCCATGACAAAATCCCTGTAAAAGTGCTAAACATCACCTAAGTGAAGTTTTAAATCATCTCATAAATTCCTCATTTGTATCAGGAATACTTCCAAATAAATTAAAATAGCAAAAGTTAGCTGAAAATACAGCATGCGGCAAAAATCCCGATCTATTTTATGCAGCGCACTGTTCAGCCTTGGGTCCAGGTAAGACAATGTTAAGGGTTTTCAAAATTGGGGTTTAGAGTCTTTTCCAAATTGGGGTTTCGGTTTCTAACTAAATGATTAATACAGTTCCAGTCTACTCCACCTTTTTTGATGGCTATTTATCTTTGTGTTCTTTGTTTTGTTTAAATTATGACAAAGTTTTGGTTAGAGAGACAAAATAAGGTTTTAATATGGGGTTTTGTGAAATAATGCGCAAGAGTCGTCTCACCTGAAATTAGTCACACCTTAAGATTTGTAGAGATAGCCTAGCCTACAATGAGATAGATTCCAGAATTCTATTGTGTTGGTTAATTAATTGTTGTTTCGAGTTTATTGACTCAGACTTGGAATATAATTACAACAATGCTAATAACTATATTAGCTTATCTTCAACAAGTGATCATCACAGCCACTCAAAATAAGCGTTGAGATTGAAATTTTGAATTAAAATAACGCACAAATAAGAATATAACCATATTATGATGATGTATTTTGACTGTGAATGCTTAGTGAACAATTATTTTATTTTTCATTTCCTTTTTAATTGTCATCATTAATCTTAGAATTTGCTTAACAGTGAGAAACATCCGGAGCTGATGAAAATCAAGAAGCCCGTGGCCCAAACCAAAAAACCACTGCCTCCATTCAAGGTTGTATGACTTTTATAATCTCTTTAAAAACTATATATGTACTTAGTTCAATCAATAAAAGAATTGTTATTGTACTTTCGCTTTTGCACAAGAGATCATAAAAATCATTGTTGAACCCCGGAACTGTAATATATAATATTTGATTTTAGGCCTACATTACCATTTTTCAGTTCCAAATAGTAACCTCGTCAAAGTGTTACATGTTTCGGCGAGCTGCCATTAACAAACACTTTTCATTAGGCCTACAAGAATATACATTTACTAGCAGGTTTATATAAAGTTTTATTTTGCTTGTTCCCTGCTGAAAAAGCCAACTCGCGTTTAACAAATGAAACTGACCATCGGTGCAATCGGGCAATCCAAAAAAAGAGCAGTAAGGGCTGTCGACGCAATCGTATAGTGTAGGGTGGGACTAATCCCTGACCATCGGGGGCAGTCGGGCTACTCCCGTTGACTCGCCGTGTCCGACCGGCAATATTTCTTTTCCGTCGGCTCCTTGACATGTATAATAGAAACTATAATATAAAACATTTCTCCCGTTGTGTCCTATACAGGGTGATTGATATAAGTGTGCCAGCCGTTTTATTCAAAAACTAAGAGATATCAAAAAAAGTTAAATGGTAAATGCCTTGGATTTTTTATTTTAAAAATTGTAGTCAAGTCAAAAAAATTATTTTATCCGCCATTTTTCCAATATGGTCGCCAACTTTGATTTTTGTTATGGAACATCCTGTATTTTATGATGTATTCTGGTAGAAAATGTAATTTTAAGACGATTTTATCCTTGTAATTTTTTCATAAACCTAACCGTTTCAAAGATAATAATGGTTAGAGTTTTGAAATTTCTGCATGAGAAAGAGTTTCGATAAAGGCCTAAGCAAGCATGCCAGCTGTTTTATTCGAAAAACCATTCAAAATTTCACAACTTAAACCATTATATTATCTTTGAAACGGTTAGGTTTATGAAAAAAATTACAAGAATAAAACTGTCTTAAAATTACAATTTCTACCAGAATACATCATGAAATACAGGGTGTTCCATAAGAAAAATCAAAGTTGGCGGCCATATTGGAAAAGTGGCGGCTAAAATAATTTTTTTGACTTGACTATTATTTTTTTAATAAAAAATCCAAGGCACTTATCATTTAACTTTTTTTGATATCTCTTATGGTTTTCAAATAAAATGGCTGGCACACTTATATCAATCACCCTGTATAATAGGTAAAATTTCTTTGCAGGGTTTATAATTATTTTTAAAAACATGCAAACTGTTTACATTTCAAAACCAAACATAGCAGCTGGGATTTATTTTTCTTTAAACTAATTTATTGACATCTGTTTCAGAATAAAATAACACTAGTGTACATGTTGCTCGAATTCGAGCAATTACAAAGTATTACAGGAGTTATTTCAGATTGAATAACAGTCATATTTACAATGAATTTAAAAGAGTCAACTCAAATATTACCGTTGTGTAACTCAGACCCTGTTTATCTTCGTTATTGCTAAACCTAAAGCATTCCGGACGGTTCTCTCCTTCTCAAAATGCCTCGCTGTACAGGCAACACAGGTCATTAATAGAGGGCCAATTGAGAACGAAAAGTCGTTTTGGGGTAGTGTAAGGGCGCATTTGTAACCAAATAGTTGAAGTTGTCCAGGTTCATGTTCAGACTGTTAAGCTGATGAGTTAAGCCTATTACGCGCCACTGTTCTGTAGTTGCGGTCGTTATCACGATTGCGCCTCCTGTCAATGTTTCGTTGTCGTTGCGTCGGAGACATTTAAAAGAAATAAACAACAAATAATAAACAAATTATAGCTACACAAAACGACGATAAATGCACAAATTTAAGTTACAATCATGCTAACACAATCCATCATAGCGACACAAAACAACGATAAATACACAAATTTAAGATACAACCATACTAACACGATCCGTCTTGGGGGTTATGTTTACACAAACTCAAATAGTAAATAAATGTACTCAATGTGTTTCATTGAATTGAAAAGTAAATAACAGCAATAAAATTATACAGCTGATCAAAATGTAAACAATTATGTTCTTCATAAGGATAACATGGGAACTTTTAAAGCCACTGGGGCAGAGCCCAAGGGACTTTTTCAAAAATGTAAGGTCAGTTTGCAAATCTACGCGACACGCTCTTTCCAATGAGACGTCAATGGATAAAATCGGTTAAGAAATGGCGGAGGAGTTCAACCGACAAACTTTCGTGTAGCGTATTAATTATATAGATTCAAATCAATCTCAATGTTATCCTTATGGAAGGAACTTTGAGGGCAGCCCATGCCCTTAAAAAGATATATTTCGAAAATCTAAAGCTTGTTTGCACATCTACACACCTACACGAACATTTTGGTATATAATACGTGGGGTTAAATCTTAAAACAAAAAAGCCTTATTGTTCACAAAGTTTCATGTCGCGTATTAAAGATAGGGCCTATAGATTCCACTTGAATAGCTTCGTCATGGGTACACAAGTGTTCAATTTTCCTAAAGTGTGTTGCTATTGAGGTTAGAAAGATCCAATAAAAAATATTAACCAATTAATTTTGGAACAGAATATATTTAACTTGAGACAGTACAACATATTATTGAGATATAACATAGGCATAATACTAGGGGGATGGATGGGTCCTGAAATTTTGAGAAATTTTCAGGGAAAATATTCTCAATTTTTAGGACGGGATTACATTTGATTCAGGAATTTTTCGGGGCGGGATTTATTTATTGAGTTACATGTCAGTACTTCATAATAACAGGACATATTGTCAATGGTTAAATAAAGACTTAAAACTAATAGATAAAACTAATATATCTGTATTTACACAAAATCAACAGAATCTCCCCAAAATGCAACGTTGTTACATGTTTTTCAGTTTTGTCCTGCTGTATACTCCAGGGTGTATGAAATAATATATATTTGGCCCTTTTTTATTTTTTTTTAAATTGACAATTTATTCTCTCACAAGAAATAATAATGCTTTAATTATCATTATTTTAAAATATTTTATAGGTTTCTTTAAGATTTTTTTTGTACAAGTACAAATAATTAGTTATTTTTCCCATGAGTAAGTTTCGATCGGTAAATTTTTAATTTGTAACTTGGAATAACACTCGACTTTTTACCCCTAGTTTGCTGGATTGTTGTTAGGTGTGCTTTATTCAACAATTTTTTTTTTATTTCAGCTCTACTTGAGAGAAAAGCTGCTTAAGCACGAAAATGATGAGAATTTCAACCGACAAGACTTTACTGAAAAGTACAAAGATTTGTGGAAATCGTTAAGTTTCAAAAAGAAAGCATATTGGATCAGATTAGCAAAGGAAGAAGAAGATAAATTCTTGGTAGGTTCTGATTTTCTTCTACACTGACTTGAACGAAATAGCATCAACTCAATACCCCCCCCCCCACTACTACTTAAACTTAATTTTGTTTTTTTGCAGGCCAAATACAATTTTGTTTATGTATTTATACTAATCAATCAATAATACATTTATGTAGTATTTTTTTAATTTTATTTGTATTTACGTCGTACAATTTTATTAAGGGCGAGCCTGTAATAATTCTGTATAGCTAAATCGTGTATGTCTGCTAGGTATTAACAAAAAATCAAAAAATCAAATCAGGCTTTAAATCGTCACTTTATCCTTGAACCTCTTTTATCTAACATTCCAGCTATCTTATAAGTCAAATTTATATTAATTCCAATATTACCAGTTCTTCTTGAAGATATAAAGTACTACTAAAATTAAAATTACAAGCTACAACTAAAATGTGTCAGACTAAATCCTAAAATGTTGATTAAATTCTACATTTATTTACTCTTGCTGTATAATTGACTGAAACAATTGAATGTGATATCAAACATTTTGGGGATGAATAGTGGCTTTTTTGGGGTGGGAGGATGACATACCGTTGAATAAAATTTCCCTCTAAATTTTGAAATTTTGATTTGCCATTCATGGCCGGTAACCAATCCTAAAGTAAAAAGTGCACTTTGACAATAAGAATAAGAATAAGAATATTTTATTTCCATTGATCTGTTTGTACAGAAATAGGACAAGTAAATTTGTCATACAAATGTAAAATATAACAAATAAAAATAAAACAAGACATTAATGTATTCAAAATAAATACAAACTTGTGTTTCACAAAAATCCTCAAGTTTATAAAAGGGATTTTCTACCAGCCAGCTGTACAATACAGATTTAAACCTGTTTAAACTAACCTCTCTTGCATTCTCAGGCGGCTTATTGAAAAAGTAAATGCAATTTAGTTTAAAAGAAGTTTTAGTTTTAGTAAGCCTATGTGGTACTACAGTAGACTCCCTCTCGTTCGGCCATCTCGGGACCGAACCACCGCCCGAACTAAAAAATGGCCGAACTAACCGATGATATATAAAGAAGACTACTTTTACTGCCGTAAATGGACTTACTGTACAGTATAAAGGATATATATACACTAAACAAAAATAATTAAGAATAGACTTAGGCTAAGTGTAGATTTTAAACTTACCCTCAGAAATGTTGGTATTGTTTAATAAAAACTAGGGATGGACGAGATTGAATTTTTAGTTCGAGACGAGACGAGACGAGATTTTTTATTTCTCATAAAATTTCGAGACGAGATCGAGACGGGATTTCCCTTCTCAAACACAATGGGAAATGCACGTTCAAAATTTGTACCTGATTTTGTAACATTGTTAGATGACTGTTTAAATACAAAAATAATGATAATAGGCAAGAATATTTACAATCTTTTATTAAAAAACATCAGCATAACATTTTTTTATTAATCACGCCTAACTTATTAAAAATGCCTACGATCAGGAATCATAGTGATATCAGTTAGGAGAGTTCAACTTATCCTAAAATAAAATAAATCATAAAATAAAAGCAATATTAATTTTTATAAAATAGTTACTTGTTTTGACTTTTTATAGTAATAAAACATTCCTCACACTGCTTACACTTGACAAAACATCTCAAATGTTAATAAAATAATATTATTAAAATAATTATAGTAATATTTTCATTTATAGAATTAATTAAATAAGAACGCCTTCGCAAAGGAAACGCAACTACAACACGCTCCTGTATTGCGGGTATTGCATTGACTTTCTGCAGGCGTTTTAAATTTTTTTTTTTTTTATTCTTGTCTCGATAAAAATCTCGGCCAAAAAGAAATCTTGTCTCGTGTAACGAGATTTAAAATTTCCCGAAAATTTCCCGAAATTTCAAGACTTGACCTAAAAAAACACGTACTGAACACTTGACACTGTACTGACATTATTAATTTATTTCACACAATAGACAATAGACAATAAACAATAGACAATTAATCTTTATTTACACATTCATTAAGAATAGTAGTAGCGTCAATTTACAATTTTTTCTAAATGTGTGGTTGAGGTGTTGTTTAGTCAAAGACCTGTTGATGGTATTCTTCTAAGGAATAGAAAGGTCGATTAATGAGCCATTGATGCAAAGCTGGTTTGAGGTCATCTTCTGACTTGCTTCTTAGATCTGGAGGTAGCCTGTTGTAGATTTTCATTCCTGCGTATGAAGGTTTCTTTTCAAACTGTGCCGTGCGATGTTGTGGAGGGTTGTACTGCATGGTGTTTCTCAGGTTGTGTTGGTGCATTTCGCCACGCCTTGTAGGGTTATTTCTTACTGCAAATAACACAACTTCCTGGATGTAGAGTGCTACAAGGGTAAGTACTTTGAGTGACCTGAATGCTTCCCTGCAGCTGTCGAGTCTGTGGAGTCCTGCAGTTATTCTGACTGCCTTTTTTAGCGAATTTCCCTATAGGGAAGTAGCTATTACCGTAGGTGGCACGGTAAGACCTAGACCCGGGACCGATTTACTTTTTCATTTTGATGTCCCCAGAGGCCAAAAACACCATTCGTTCAAATTTTTATATATGTATATATATATATATACTAGCAGAGTACCCGTCCTTCGTACGGGGTTGGCATATAAGTATCAAATGCTTATAGCAGTTATGAGTGAGGACATGGTTTAAGAAATTTCGGTTCTTTTTGAAGTTCGTTCGCTACGCTCACTCACCTTTAGGTTGGAGCTCGTTCGCTGCGCTCACTTTCCTTCAGGTTAGCTCGTTCGCTACGCTCACTTGCCTTCAGGTTAGCTCGTTCGCTACGCTCACTCGCCTCCAGGTTGAAGTTCGTTCGCTACGCTCACTCACCTTTTGCTGTTGTCATAAATGTAAAAGAAATAATAGTGCTAGTGTTGCACCCTGTTGGTAATCCTTGTAACTTTTAATGCTATTGAACATCATAGAACATAACCAACTTGTTTAATTGAAACAGCTGTTAAGATTCATTAATTCCATTTCTCATAAGGTTAACATGGGAAACTCCAGAGCCACTGGGGCGGAGCCCCGAAGGATTTTTTGGGATAAAAATATGCCTATATGTTAATCAGGAATGTGAGCTATCATCATGCCAAATTTCAGCCCGATCCGACCAGTAGTTTTTGAGATTAGCTCATACAAACACACACACAGACACCACCTCTTCTTTATAATAGTATGGATATATATAGACTTATATATTACTAAGCAAATCAAAATACGACAGTACCCTAAAAACTTATATATATATATATATACGTCCGTGAACGCGATAACTTGGGTAATTTTTGTCCGATTTTGATGAAATTTGGTTTAAAGGTGTACAGCGGGATAAACTTGAATGAGTTCGCGAACCAGCACGATCGGACCATGGGAACGGGGCTTTACGGGGGGTTTTATGGGGTAAAAATTGGTTTTTCTCACTTTTGACCCTCAAAACACAAAATTTCCCGATTTCTCTTTAGACCTTATTAAAGAGCTTAAAAAACAAATAATTTAGTATATAAAAGTATTTTTGTTCGATTATTAGTAACGGAGAAAATTAAAAAAATTGTAAATTTAAAATTCCCATGTTATTCTTATGGAAAATATTGTCAAATGTTGTAGTTTGCTTGTTTGTGGATATATTTTGATCAAACTTGGCAAATTTATTTATTTTGTACTAAGCTATCAATATTTTACTCAAAAACACACTTTATTAGTTTCCTTGTAGCAGCAAACCTAGGTACTCGTTAAACCTAATGTTATTAAAATATATTTAACTGAAAATCAATTCAGACAAATGGAAATTCGCTTAGTCGGCAGGTTTGCTGCGGCGGGGGTATTTGTTTTCTGAGAACTCTTTGCATGTTAGTGGCAGAAGTTCCACCCCATGCTACAAGTCCATATCTCATATGCGACTCGAAAAGTGCAAAGTATGCTACTTTTGTTGTCATATCATCTGTTGCATTTTTTATATGTTTAAGAGCATAGATGGTTGAACTTAATTTTTTACATATATTGTCCGCATAAGGGGTCCAGGTTAAATTCTTGTCGAGTGTGATGCCCAAAAACTTAGCTTCATCTTCCACTTCTACATCTGGGAGTCGTGGCACTTCTTGAGATTTACGGCCAAAAGCTATTTGAGTTGTTTTAGACGTGTTTACTGCGAGATCATTGTTATAGCAGTATTGGTAGGCCATACTGAGTGACACATAGGATTTTACTTCTAGATTTTCAGCTAGTGGTTCATTAAACACTAAGGAACACACACAACAAAAAACATAAATAATGTAGGCCTAAATACAATAAAATACCCCCGCCGCAGCAAACCTGCCGTCTAAGCGAATTTCCATTTGGCTGAATTGATTTTCAATCGAGCTATTTAAATAACATTAGGTTTAACAAGTACCTAGGTTTGCTGCTACAAGGAAACTGATAAAGTTTGTGTTTTAAGTAAAATAATTATTGCTTAGTAGAAAATGAATATATTTGCCAAGTTTGAACAAAAGATATCCATAAACAAGCAAACTACAACATTTTACAATATTCTCCATAAGAATAACATGGGAATTTTAAATTTACAATTTTTTAGTTTTCTCCGTAACCAATAACCGTACAAAAACACTTTGATATACTGAATTGTTTGTTTTTTTAAGCTCTTTAAGAAGGTTTAGAGAAAAATTGGGAAATTTTGTGTTTTGAGGGTCAAAAGTGAGAAAAACCAATTTTTACCTCATAAAACCCCCCATAAAACCCTGTTCCCATGGTCCGATCATGCTGGATCGCGAACTCATTCAAGTTTATCCCGCCTTACACCTTCAAACCAAATTTCATCAAAATCGGATAAAAATTACTCAAGTTATCGTGTTCACGGACACATATATATATAAATCTATATATATATATATATATCTATATATATACATATATAAAAATTTGAACGAATGGTGTTTTTGGCCTCTGGGGACATCAAAATGAAAAAGTAAATCG